CTCCTCCTCCTCCTCCTCCTCCTCCTCCTCCTCCTCCTCCTCCTCCTTCTCCTCCTCCTCTTCCTCCTTCTCCACCTTCTTCTCTTTTCCTTTCCTTCTTCCCTCTTCTTCCTTGTCTTCTTTCCTCTTCTTTCCTCTTCTTCCTCTTCTTCTTTCCCCTTCTTCCTATTCTCCTTCTCCACCTCCTCCCCCACTTCCTCATCTTTCTTCTTTCTATCTTAGTGGTTTTCTCTGACTGATTTTGTAAAGTAGTACCATCTCTTCACAACTTTCCTAGGTGTTTGCATCCCTCCACAACATGCAGAATTTAATTATCTATGGGCAGTAAGAATATCCTTTCACAAAATCTGTGGCTCCACCCACTGTGCAAACTTTGAATGATACAAAAACTCAATGATTCCTAGTTTCTCTTTCTATTCTTTCTCCTAAATGTGTACTTACCTTATAAAACTTTGTTAACCTCTGAATGATAGAGAACATATACTTAGAAAAAAATTACAATAAAAAACATTAGGATATCTGTTTTGTCATATTCACAGTATATATTGATTAGCTTTAAAAGTAGTAAGTATATTTCTTCCATTTATTCATTAGTCCATAACCAAGAAAAAAGTACAAATAATATGAAAAATTAATATTAATGTAGTCCTATGATTCTACAGATAATGACAGTATTTTTGTCTTAAAATTTAAGCAAATCAAGACCAATTTCTTTGTTTTTTGAAACCATATCTTCAGCTTTTAAGATTACAATAATTTTACAATATTTGCATTTTCCTCTTTCATTTTCTTCCTCCAAACCCTGTTATATAATTTTCATTCCTTTTTTTTTTCAAATTCATGGCCTCTCTTTTTATTATTTTATCTTTCTTATATGTATATAATTTTTATACATTTTCTATCACCTTTGGCAAATGGGAGCAATCATTTTTTAAATTTATTTGATATGACACTGAGTTGTCTTGATAAATGAAAAGTCCTTGCAATAAATTGCTGCAAAAGACTGAAAGAACCAAGGCCATTATGATAAAACAAAATGATCAAGTTGACTTTCATATGAATGGGTTATAAGACTTAGCTTCTCTTCTAATCCCCTGGCATCATAAATCACTGAATTAAACTGTCAAGCTTTGAGGCATCTTAGATTCTTTGCACATACTATTTATGTTCAGTCATATTGAACTAGAAAGAAAATATGATTTGCTGATGTTTATTTAATAATTCTGTTCATACGTTCATGACTGATTATTTTGAGTTATACCTTTGGGAAATTTTGACATCAATACTAACTAGAATTTACTTCATTTAAGTTATGAGTGAATACTGCTGAGTCTTCTGCTATGTGGACAATAACTATTTCTAATGTTTTCCATTTTAAATGTCTAAATATTCTGTCTTCTAGTATATATTTTGTTACTTTATATTTAGGGGTTCAAGTTTTTTCTTTAAAATTAATTTAGATTCTGTATGGCTGGCAAATGATCATTCAATCTTTAATCAAATTAAATCAATTATTTGTCTATTGTCCTCCACTGATTGCTTCCTACATTTAATATTAATGGAAATTTATTTTTTGTGGTAATTTTTATTGGATATTTTATTTATTTACAATACAGATGTCATCCCCTTTCCCCATTTCCCATCCTTAGAATCCCCCATCCCATTCCTCCTCCTCCTTTATGCTTTTATACCATTTTAATTACGTGCATGTATTAAGGTCAGTTCTAGGTTATGGGTCTACCAATACAATAGATGCAAATAGTCAAGGAACAAGCAAGACCATAAACACAAATACTCAAAGAAAAAGCAAGGAACTAAACACAATTACATGAGCACTCCCATGATAAGTGTTCCTAAGGGCTTATCAGGGTGACCAAAGTATCTGAGCCTATTTCCCTGTCCTAGCCCAAGGTCATTTTCATGTCTGAAGCCTACTTCCTCTTTCTTGTCTAAAATTTAGGTTCCTGCCTGAGATTACTTCTTTGTTATAGCCTAAGATTTAGATTCTTACCTGAAATTACTTCTTTGTTCTAGCCATAATGTCAGATTCCTGCCTGAAGCCTACTTCCTTGTCCTTGGCCAATGTCATATTCCTGCCTAGCAGCCCATTTCCTTGTCCATGGCTCATGTCAGATTTTCTTGCCAAGCAGCCTCAAAGATCTCTGTTTCTCTCCCTTTTTAATTTCATTAACAAGACAGAGCCTGTCTTAGGTCATTCTGACAAGAATGCCTTCTTTACCTGTCATAGAATATCCATTATCAAAAGCAATGCACATATGTCTTGCCATGTAAATTTTATAATGGGGATTATCATCACTTTGTCTCTGTTGTGAACACCTTCTCTATTCCAATTAATAACTTTCTAGCTTTCTATAACACTAAGACTGAATAAATAGGAAGAAAATTAAATTAAGAAAATTGTTCTTTTTCAAAAGCACAATAACAATAAACTACTTCGAATCTTTAGCAAGAAGCCTTAAATATTTCAAGGTAAGATTTGCAGAACATTAACTGAAAGAAATTAAAGTATAGTTGATATGCTTTGGAACTGACACCATCCCCTGAAACTGTCAGGTTTTGAACATTTTGAACATCAATTGGTTGTACTTTGAAAAAAAAATGAATGTCCAATAGATATATGAAAAAAGATCAACTTATTTAGCTGTTAGAAAAATTTAATCAAAATTTTGGTAAGATTCCATGTCACTGCTCTGAAAATGATTGCACTCCAGAAAAATAAAAGGACAAACATTGGTGAGGATGTGGGAAGAGAAGGACTCTTGCATGGTGCTGGTGGAAATATAAACTGGGCATCCTCTCTGGAAATCTGTATGGAAATACTTAAATTATTAGAAAGAGAACTTCTAAAGTTTTGTATTTTCTGGATGTTTTTATGAGGAAGTCATGGTCAACATACAATACAGACATTCACACTTGCCTTTACAATGGTACCATTCAAAATAGACAAGCCAGCCTAAGTGTGTGTTACCAGATTAATGTGTTAGAAGGATACAAAAGAGAGTTTGTCAAACACTACAAACAATAAAATATGCCATTTTTAGGAAAAATACATAAAGCTATGGATCTTTGTTTTGAGAGAGCATAGTCTCTGTAAGTCAAGAATTGGGTCTTCTCTCATGTATGATGTCCATGTGTTTAAAAGAGACATGGCAATAGAGGTACCATTAAGATAGTGAATATGTAAATGCAGCAGGGAAAATAATAAATAAAGGAAGTGAATATAGTTAGAGCACATATTGCATGTATATAATCTCATAATAAAATTTACTTTATATAACAAAAATATGCTAATGAAGCTAAGTGGGCTAGGGAAATGGCTGACTTTACAAAATATTTTCCTTTTCCACATGATGAGCAGAGTATAAATCTCCAGAACCTATATAAAGACTCCAGCATGTGTATTAGCCATTTGTAATTTTACAGCTTGCCTTTTGCTTTCATTTAATCATAAGAATACAAACAACAAAATATGACATTTTAGGAAAATATATAGAGCCATGGATTTTTTTTTTGAGTGAGTATAGATAGTCTCCTTAAGTCAAGGATCAGTTTTCTCTCACATATGAAATCCATGTGTTAAAAAGTCGCTGCTTATTGAGACCCTCATACATGAGCCTCATATCTATGTTACTTTGCCTCTCCCACTTCAAACTCCTTCAATGAGCTCCCTATTCCTTCTAATCATTCTTGTTACATATAGATCTAAATATGTATATGTTGTATATTTAACCTACTAACTTCCTTTACTATTGCTCATATGTAAACATGTTCAAGGCTGACTTTAGCTCAACAATTAGTGGCCCTGTACATATTCAACTACAAGGTGGTTTCAGGTGGAATTTCTGCTCTTGGCACTGTCAAGTCAAGTGGTGGTATTATTGTCCTGGTCACAGTCTGAGAACTAGAGTGTTGGGATTTCATGGGTTGTTTTCCTTAGGCCTGAGAAGAGGACCAATACTTATCTTTTGCCCACACATATACATATACATATACATATACATATACATATACATATACATA